TCTTTCGATCCCAGACGGTCGTCGCACGTCGGCGCCGCAGTGAGGTCCGCCGTTATAGCTGTAGCACGCTACTAGACACACTGCCTCCAAGTTGAGCGGTGGAAAATTATGACCACCCCGAAGCCACGCACCGAAGCGCCGGCGTCCCTCGGCAACGTCTGCCACCGACAGCAACACGCCTTTGATCACCGGCTGCTTGCGCTCCGCATACTCTCCAGAAGCTGTTGGTTGTGTGGCTGGTGCTACTTCTATCAGCCTTCCTCATGCACAATGTTGCCGTTGAGCTACGAGGCTGCAACCCGTCGTCATTTGAGTTTGCTGCTGCCACACGACACAGCGCGTTCCTGCTGCACGAGAATGGTTGGACAGGTGTGAACAACACCTCGTGGGGGCGGCACCGCAGGCGCCCATTGAGGGGTCCGGGTGATAGCCCTGGGTGGGAAAGCCATACGCCTAGTTGGACTTCAGATCGCCCGATCGCGTCCCGGTGAACTGACATCGGATTTGTGACGCCGCCGCACCAAGCCGCGGCCAGGGGCCCTCCGGAGGCCGAGGATGGCCGTGGCGGACCGAGACGAGCTCTGGGAGGTAAAGTGTCAGTGTATGTACTGTAGAGTTTGACCATGTGCACAATATCTCTCACTCTAGCTAAGCCAGGGGAGGCGATTCTGGGCGTCCACACGGCTTGCCTGGTGACCCTCGCGAGCGCGTCCGGCAGAGCGACTGAAGAATCGAGGACAGAGTCACAAATCCCGCTTGTTGTGCATGTTTTGAGGTCGGACAGTGCTGCTGTCTTCTCAACGCAGCAGCCGACGCCACCAGGCCTCGGTAGCTGAGCAGCAGGAGCCTCCTCATGCATGATGGTGGGTGGGTTAACGGTCGGGGAGCGTGCTAATGCATTGGGAAGGGAAGTGTGATGTGTCACGGGCGTTGGGTAAGTGACTGGGAGATGATTTCTAAAGATATGTCAAGGATGGGCAGCGAGGCGCTAGCTACTAGCGGGCACACCTCGAGTCGTACTGCACGGATCGCCGACTTTGCGCAGGGTGATCTTCTTGACCGTTTTCCGCGGGGCTTCATCGACCTGCGCAACGACAACACAACAAACTCAGCCTCGGCCAGCCTCTTTTGCGCGTGGCTCAAAAGAGCTGCGCGCTGGTTCGAATGCTCAGCTACCTGTTCGAGGATGAAGGTGACGACGATTGCGTTGAGCAAGAATAAGTAGTCGACAACGGATCCCGCACGTCGGACAAGATGTAGATGTCAAACCTGCCAGCTGCTCCGCCACGCCGAGGCAGGGTCGTCCACAGCCCGGTGTCCGCCATGGGACCCGGGGTAAAAGTATCTGCCGGTAAAACGTTAAGGACAGTGATGCTGCTGTTAGGACACCTGGTGTCCTAACACTAGCTCTAATTCTGCTGTTAGGACGTACTAACACTCAGCTAAATACTGCTGTTAGGACACTGTTAAACAAAACACAATACCATCCCGGGATATCCCGGGATATCCCGGGACACAAATGTGTTCAAAAATACATGGACTCGCAGTCGGTCTCGTGCAAACTTATGGGTCATGCTATGGCCCACCTACGCGCCAGTCTAGCCAAATGGCGCTAGAGGGCGACTGGTATGGGTCGACTACACCCACTAGGCATGGTAGAGTCGACCCACAAGGCATGCAATGGGGTGGACCCACTATGCACTAACCGTCCTATCCCCAAATCTCGGACATCCCGGGCATACCCACGTAATGGCGCTATTCCTAACGCCAGCTTCATCAGAGGCTCTCATAAGCATGAAGCACTGAGTAATGTAGGCTCAGCTTCAGCTTCATGAAGCCGGGCTCAGGCTCAGCTTCATTTCATGAAACGCACTAGTAGCCACTCTCGTCTTCATTTCATGTGCTTCAGTTGTACACGCCTTGGCAGTTGGGGCGTGTAAGTGTAGGTAAGTCTCACTGGAGATAATTGATTGAGCCAGTAGAGAACAGATCTAGATCACGTCTGCGGTGAACGGAAGGCCTCGTGTACAGCACCAAAACACGTAAGAGCCGAGTGTGCTCAAATACCAAACTGAGCAAGTTCATGCTGCATCCGAGATCCGTGGACCCGCATGCGGCATGGCGCATCTACCATCTTGCCAGAATGTGGATTGCGACTTGTAGGAGGCCATGACGGATTAGGGGTGATTACGGGAGCGCGGGCCGGCCTCCCGCGTCGGCGCTTTCTCATGGTGGTGGCAAGGGCGGTTGAAGCGGTGTGGCCCAGGGCGTGGTGCCCGCGGGCTTCCGCGGAGGCTCGCACCCACGCAGGGGCGTTTGATCGCGTGTGATGACCTGCCTATGAGGGTGACGTGGCGGTCGGCCGCTGAGGCAACGGCCTTTTTTGTACACGGTGTTAGGGACTTAGGGTAAGCTAAACTATAAAACTAAACACCTGGCTTTCCTCGACCACGTCGTCTATGTGCACGGCCAGGGGCGCACTGTAAATCTGTACAGACTCCTCGTTTCGTGAAGGGAGCACCGTGGATAAGTAGCGGCCGACCTCAAAATCCCGGGTGTACACTTGGCGGAGCAGCTGCAATGTAGTCGTGTCGAGGTCACCAACCTGCAGGCTGCAAGTCTTGCTTCCTGCAGGTTGAGCTGCAGGTTGGACTGCTGCGTCGGCCACCTGTTTGGCAGTCACATCTGCACCGTAGGACTGCACAAGGGACGCAAAGTCGCTGTCGAGCGTCTCCGTATGGATGATGGTGTCGCAGTCGTAAAACGATTGCGGCAGCATGTGACAATCTGTGTGACTCCGCCTGTCATGCGGAAAGCTGGGCCTCGCCGCTATCCTCAAGTGAGTCGCGCCTTCCGTCCCTTCAATTTGAGGCCATGCTTTTGCCAGCAGAGAGACCGATGCGCTGATGTTCTGCAAAACAGCTGTCAGACCCGCATTAAGGTCTGCAGCATTGCAAGGACTCCCAGAGTAAATGTACTCGCTGATGGCCCTCGTAAAAGGGTGCCGCATCGCGCAGAAGGTCTTGAAACCAGCGTAAGGGTCCTCACCGGTTGGGCCCACAGCAGTGTACACCGTGCGTGGGATGTGCCAAGCGGAGCATGGCTGCCAGTTGGTGTGCTGATGATCGGGACAGCCCAGTGCGCAGTTGCCACCAGGCCATTCTGTTCTGTGAACACCCCAGTTAATATGAAGGCTGCGTTTGCCGACTTCCTCGAGGGTGGTCCCTCCGGATTTCGGAATGTGCACCAGCTGCAGCTTCGAAAGCAGCAGTGTACACCGTGCGTCACTCGGATAGCGCGGCCGGCAGCTGGAACCCATGTTGGCACGTAGCCGAGAATATGCGGCTTTTATCCGCTCGCCGCCGTTGCCATGCACGAAGCACTGTCTCGTGTTCGTCACCTTGTTGACCAGCCGCACCGCTTTGCCGTGGCGCTCGATGTCGTAGACTGGGACCGAGCCGTTCGGCGTCTGCATATGGACGAGGCATCCAAAGAGAGTGCCCGTGTAGTCGAGCGTTACGGAACGAGGGTGCATGACAAGGTAGCTTGAAGCAGCCATCTGATCATCAAACTCTGGGGGCTGGTGTCTCCCGTGCAAGCTGAACGACTCGTTGCGGCCCATCTTCATGATCGACTGGTATACGTCGAGCAGGAGAGAGACGGGGCCCATCGCGACGCCCGCGTTCAGGTATGCGAGGGAGTGCGGCGGCGCGCAGGCTGTGTAGTTCTCGCCTTGACGAAGGTGGCGCGCATGGTCAAGATCGCAGTCGGATTGGTTGACCCAACGCCCGTATGAGTTGTCACTGATACCCGCCAGCCGCTGCACCGCGGCCTTCCTCGCCAGGGTGGCTGGGGACTCATAGAATGGCAGCAGGTACTTCTGGGCGCCGGAAGGATAGAGTCGGAGCTGCGCCGCAAAAACCACGCGAGCACCGCCCGACGCCTCTACGATTGCGTGATACCGTTTCATGAGCTCCGCCTGGGAGCAGCCGCCAGACAGAACGTCCTCGGCGTCTGCGGTGATGACGATGCGATCGCCCCCGGAAGCATTTTCGGCCGCTAACCAGTCTGCAAAGCCCTTCACCTTGGTCATCCAGCCTTCCCAGGGTGCACCCGGCATTGCATTCTGAAAGCTGAGGCCATTGCTGCCGTCCATCGGGAAGGTGCTTGCATTCGAGCGAGTCTCCACCGTCGCAACCGTGACGCCCATGCTTGCAGCACCTTCCAACGGGTCTTTACCAGACCCCACGTCGGAGAGGGAAAGAGGCGCCGCCAGCGCAGGGGCGTCTCCGCGCGCAGCGATGCCGTACGCCAGCTTGAGCGAGAGCATGGCAAAGGCCACAGCTGACCGCAGCGCCGTGCTCAGTTTGGCAGGCTGGTGTACGTGACTGGTAAAACGAATCGCTGCTGGCAGAGTTGCGCCTCTGTTTGCCGCCGCTAAGAGATCGTTGTTGCGGGAATCCAGGGAATCCAAAGGAATCTAGAATCTGTGGGTCCGAGATTCGATCTGGGACCTGAGCCGCTCGGGACCAGCGCACATGACCGGGGCCACTGCCATGTCGCAGACGACTGCTGGATCGGCCGTCGCTGCGACCGGCCGTCCTGCAAAGGAATAAAATAGATCGCGTTCCTGTCCGTAAATAAATAAATAAAACGGACACCTCTACTAGGAGATGGGTAAAAAGGAACAGGTCCCCGCCCTGCGGTCTTTGTGCAGGGTTCTTTGTGGGTGTGGTCGGCGACTAGCCGGGGTCGTCCTCCCGATGGGGGACTAGCACTAGCCGTCTTCCACATGGTCCCTCGGGTCCCTGCTGCTCCTAATCTCGTCGTACATCCTCCTGCTGATCTCCGCAACATCCTGCTCCCTCCCTCGTCTCGCCCTGCGGGTCCTCCATAGTCGGTTGAGGTCGCCGCCCTCCTCGTGCCTCTTCCCAACGTTTCCTCGGCAGCCGATGCCGTCTGCTCCGACTCCGCCGTCCCCGGGTCTCCCCTGCCCTCGTCTGCGCTAGCTTCTGTTTCGTCATCACTGATGTCCGTCCTCTTCTTTCTCCTCTTGTTGTATGCTTTGTACATCGCGTCGATTCCTTTTCGCGTGAGCACCAGCCTGGTAGGCAGAGTCTCGAGTGCGTCCGCTCTGCGGCACACATCGCCGGCAACTCCACCGCGTAGCCGCGTCGGCTCGGCCGGCCCCTCGGCACCCTCTCTGGCTAAACCCCTGCGTATAAACGTACGTGCAGCGCAGGCGGCCCCTGCCCTGGCCCCTCGCTACCTCCGACGACCGCGCGTGGCGTGTCGCCGAGCCAAGCGCGCGGCCACGGCTCCACCTCCCCGCGGCTCCGCCTCCCCGCGGCTCCGCCTCCCCGCGGCTCCGCCTCAGGGGCGGTCAGATCTTGCCGTTGCGCGCGTCGGGCGGGCGGGGAAGGAAAACGGGCACCTCGTCGTTCGGATCGTCGACCAGGTTGGAGAGGTCGTCGGAGAGCGTGTGCCCCATCTCGTCGATAGGCAGCAAGTCGACGACGCCGGCGAGGGGCTGCTCGATGATCTTGCCCGCCTCGTAGAGGCCGAAGTAGAAGAGGGCGAGGAAGAAGGAGAAGGCGAGGCCGAGGCCGAACCCCTCGTTGTTGAGATCGCCGTTGTCGTGCATCTCCATCATTGCGATGACGGGGGCCATCGAGTAGACCCACACGACGACGAAAAAGTAGGAGAAGCCTACGCGGTGAAAGACACCAGCATGAGGGCGCGAGAACGGTCTCTCGCGCCGTGTCTTCAGAGCACCGCGTGAATACGAGGGAGGCGAGTTGCGGTGAAGAGAGCGGGATACGGCCGGACACAGCCGGACGCGTCCTCTCGAGTGCTGGTTGGGAGACAAGGGGACGGGTTCGGGTTCTGGTTCTAGGAGGAGGAGGCCGTTGAGCATCGCCGGCATCGGCGTGAACTGCAGGCCGTGCGTGTCTTGGTAGACCTGAGGTCAGCTCGAGGTCAGCTCGGGTCATCTCGAGGTCATCTCGGGCTGCATCTCGCTGAATCTCGGGCTGCATCTCGCTGTATCTCGCCTTCATCAGCTTGATGAGCTCCGTCGTCATCACCGAGACCTGCTGGTCGGTGATGCGCGCCGCCTGCCGCTGCTCCTCGAGCAGCGACGTGATCCACTTGCAGACCATCGCCGTCGGGCACGAGACCACGGACAGGACCTCCGCCTCCATCACCCCCCCCTCCAGGGGGATGAGCGACGCGGGCGGCGTCACGAGCTTGAGCCCCTTGAGCATGAGCGTGTAGCAGTAAAAGGAGAGGTTGAGCAGCCGGACCAGCTCGTACCGGAACTTGGTCGTCGCCTACGCGACATGTCTCGGAAGTGTCGTGGACATGTCAAGGACAGGACCAGCTCGTCCCTGAACACGGTCGTCGCCTTCTTCTCATGGTCAGCCCCCGCGTTGATCGTCAGAGTCTCGGACACGTTGCACGAGAGCATCGCGACGGTGCGGAGCGTAGAGGCAAAAGCGATGACGCTGCCCGCGGCCGAGGTGGCCTGCTGCGACCCGTTGACGATCCGCGCTACGAGGATCACGCCGAGCACCTGCGGGGCATGGGTGGGGGGTCAGGCCCTTTGTCCCGTCAGCGAGCGCGCTAGTGACAGCGCGCCTCGTGTCGGCTCCCGAGCCAGCCGTGCTCAGCGAGTGTGTGCAGTGTGCGCGTGGGCCCGTCCTCCATGCTGGGAGGTGTGTAAGGCGGGCTGACTGACGGTGCGCGCCGGGTGTGCACCGCTGTGCCCGCTGGTGGCTGTGTGTGCGCGCCGCATGCGCCCATGTCCATGTGCGTGGGTGCGTGCGGGTGCGTGAGTGTGGTGCGGAGGAGGGGAGGGGAGGGGCAAAGAAGGGGAGCAGAGAGCGCACGATGTTTTCGACATTGAGTATGTACTGGAAGAGGACGTAGGAGGTGCCGGTGCAGAGGGTGGCGAGCACCGCGTGGCCGAGCACCTGGCGAGTCAAGTGAAGCGGCCGGGAGATTTGGGAGGGCCGCGAGGCGACAGGCGCAGGGAGGCGCAGGGAGGCGCAGGAGTCAGGCAGGCGCGTGGGCTAGGCGTTTGCCCGAGGGAGGGAGATTTAGGGAGTGCGCTGAACGGCGGCGCGAGGCGGGCCGCACGCGCCTCAAACGTGACCCACTTGAAGAAGCCTCGCACCGCAAGCGACCCCGCCTTTGCCTGTGGACCGCGGCGGCCGCGGCTCAGGCCTCGCTGCCACGCCGTCCCAGGCGCAGATCGCGCGCTCGGAACAATGGCGTGGTGGATGTGGCGTGTGCAGTGGGCGGCATCATCCCCGCCGGGAGTGTCCACGGCGGCCCGTCCCCGGGGCGGTGGGACTCGGGGCTCGAGGAGCGGTGCATGCGGTGGCGGCGGCGGCGGCGGCCGGCGGTGGCGGCGGCGGCGCACCGTGTGCTCTTGCAGATCCGGGTCGGCGAGCACGGACGTGCCGTCGAGCAGGGTGGTCGTGGTGGTGTCCATGCCCGAGCTGATGCGTAAGGCGACGCTGGCAGTCGCGGAGCTGTGGCTCTCGGGCCGACAAAAACAAAGAATTTAAACAAAACAATACCCGCCCGGTATTTATACCGGTAGGGAGGCGTCTCTACCCTTATAAGTCTCTCGTGTCCGCGCCGACGCTCTTTTAACGTAGAACGTCCCAGCCGAAATCCGCCCGCCGACGATCGATCAGTCCACAATCGTCGGCCCGCAGCGACCCGCAGCGATGGATGCCGCCGCCCCCCCGCCCCCTGCGGCTGACGCGCCGATGCACGACCGGCCTCCGTCGGATGGCTCTCCGGCCTCTCCGGCCGCTGACGCGGCCGCCCATGCTGCTGCCGATCCGGTCCCTCTCACGCTCAGCGATATCCGCGATATCCGCACAAGCTACGACAACTTCGAGGTCGCCGGCTTTGGCCAGGTGCAGCACCTGCTTGCCTCCATGTTCACGCTTCGCCCCCCCCTCCCCCCCCGCCCCCCCCCTTCTGACGCCGCCGTCTGACCTTAGGTGAGGGGCACGACTACCCGCCTGGAAGGCGCTCTCATCAGCAAGTCAATTGCAAACTGTCCCGCCATGCCCACCTACTCCCTCGCCCGCACCGAGTGCGTGATCGACGCCTTCGTCGGTGATCTGCCCTGGCCATCTGGCTGCGGGCCTGCGCTCATCGTGCGGACGGTCGACGACGGTCTCCACTACGCTCTCACCCCGGAGGACGTGGAGAAAGCATTGTCCAAAGCTGCCTGGAAGCGCGCCCAAATGGAGCTGCGCATTCTCCAGCTTCGTGCGCGTGTCGGAGCCGGCTTCTCCACTGTGCCCCGACTGGAGACCGAGCCGCCGACGGTTGGGACAGGCCGCTCCGCGCTTCATCGGGAGCTGTACCAACTTGAGAAGTTTGTCTGGCTCTCGACGCGGCTCGGCCAACCTTGGCATGGGGCGTTGGACCAGCTCGACACCGATTTTCACAGCGCCCGACACGCCTTCCGCCGTGAACGCCGGCAGCAGCAGGCTGCATGTGTGGAATGCGTGGGCCGCAACGCCGCCGACCTCTTCGCTTGGAACAGCTCGGCGCACGAGAAGGCGACGCCCGTCTCGATTGGGAAGATGGGCGAGTGCGTGTGCGGGGCGACCGGATGCGGCTGCGAGACCCGCTACATGTGCACGCACTGCGGCGCCTTGCTCTTCCCAAAGGAGGCGAAGCGGGCCAAGGCAGTTGGTCAGTACGGGACCAAATGGCAAGGCGGCAAGTTTTGCTGCAGCGGAGGGCAAGTCGACCTGCCGCCGATCCAGCGCGACGAGGCCGTCGATGCCGTTTGGGAGCGCAATCCCGAGCTGCTGGCGAAGCATTCTCGCCGACTCAACAACGCGCTGTCGATTGCGTCAGCACCTGTGAACATCCTCCGTCCTCCAGACGGCGGCTGGGCCCCGAGCGTGGTGATCCAAGGCAAGCTCCACCACAAAGTTGGGCCACTCGGTGTTGGCGAGCACGAGACGCCTCGATTCGCGCAGCTTTACGTCTACGATCCGGCTGCCGAGGGTGACAGGATTGTGGACCAGCGCTACGCCGCGTTGCGGATGGACCCGGAGACGTCGAGCGCGGAGAAGGCAAGGCTGAAGGCCGCGCTGCGCGACCTTGAAAGCGCGCTAAAGGACTGCAGCTCATACGGCGCCAGCTGCCCTCCGGTCCCTGTCTTGCCCTAACCCTAACCCTAACCACCACTCACCTCTCCGACCTGTTCGCAGTACAAGACTTCATGACGGCTGGCGAGATCTTCGCGCAGGAAGGCGCGACGATGACTGCGAAACCATGCAGTGGATGCAGCTCGATCAAAACGGCGACGCCAACAGCTGGCCCCTGGGCGAGTTCCTTGCGCTCAGGATGAGGTGCGAGCCATGATGCTCGACTATCAGCGTGCACCAAGTCGCTCACATTCCGTGAGTTCGTCAACGGGCCGAACTCTCCAAGTCGACGGCGATCTCGAACTCCGACAACTGGACCGGTGCACCAGCCACGGAGGACGATGGCTCCCTCGACGACATCCCTTCATCGACGGACGCCTTCACCGCCGCCGGCCCTGGGCCATCCAGCGCGGCCTCCGACGGCCTGCACGTGATCGAGGTACAGAAACGGTGGCTGCCGCAGCTCACACCCTAATCTATCTGCCTTAGGCACGGAGCCAACGGAGCCATCGCGCATGCCCGCATCGCGTGCGGCTCCGAGGTCTCCCGCCAAGACCGGCTCGGCGCGGCGCGTGGCCGCACGCCGCCGTTGAAAAGGCGATAGGAGAGGGGAGAGCGCCGGCCACATCGAGCGAGCGCTGACGTGTAAGGTGTCTGCGCTGCTCCGGTGTGTGTGGGATTATGCCTCCCCCCATCTGTGCGGCGAGGTGTTTGCGGTGGGTGCGAAGGCCGATCGTGCGCGATAGCCTCCCATTGTGCGTGGTGTGTCGGTGTGTCGGTCGTCCGGAGCGTGTGGCGGCGCCGTTGCATGCATGGTTCTTCTTTTTTTGACATGGCGCCATGAGGCTTCCCGCCAACGACCTCGTCCTCCGTACAGAGGCTTCTGACGGAGATGGGCCCTCCCACGGCGGTGGGAGTGGTATCAGACAGCGGCCCACCGACTTGTGGGTTCGTGCAAAATTGACTCGAAAAGCAAAACGCGCGCATCGCAAGCCGCACAAAACTGTAGCACCCGCACCGGCAAGAGAGGACACACAGGCCGCCAAATCGCCGCGAAGCCGCGAAGCAGAACAGCGGCGTGAGTGCGAGCGAAGCGGCACGAGAGGAGCCAGACACTGCACGAGAACAGATGACTTAAGCCGTAGTGCGATGCAACAGTGCGATGCGACAGGAATCATAGTAATCAAGAGCCAGAGAGGCAGAGGAGAGGCAGCCGAGACGATAGGGCACGAGCACGACGGCAGCAACGACACGAGCGACGAGGCGCGGCGAAGGAGCCGGGACAAGGCAGGGCGGGGCGATCAACAAGAGCCTAGCATTAGGTGCGGCCTGCAGAGGCACGGGCTGCGACACGGCCATGGACGAGCAGCACGCGAACGAAAAGAAGGCCCAGGCGGACATGGGCAGAGCGGGAGGGCGATACGCGAGGAGGAGACGGGAGGGGACAAGGCGCGACTCGGCCGTGGACAGGCAGGAGGGAGTGGGTGCGCAGGCGTGCGCGGCGAGAAGAGAGGCAGAGAGAAGAGAGCGCAGACAGGAGGAGAGAGATGGACCCGCATTTCTCACGACATCAGAGAGGATGAACGAGCACGTGCCACGCCGATTCATCCAGCCCAACATGCGCAGGATGCACAGATAGACGGGTGCGAGACTCCCTCCGCGAGATCGAGTGTCTTTTTTCGCAGTACAGAGAGAGCGGGAGGGCGATCAGACCACACAAGACTGCACGAGATTGCGCGAGGTTATGCGAGACCACACGAGATTGCGCGAGATTGCACGGGAGGGTGTGAGGTGGCTCGAGATTGCACGAGACCGTACGAGACAGCGCGAGATTGTGTGAGATTGTGCGAGATTGTACGAGATCTGAGATTGCACGAGATTGCACGAGATTGCACGATACTGCACGAGATCGCACGGGATTGCGCGAGAATGCACGAGAGTGCACGAGAGTGCACGACGTTGCGCGAGACTGCACGAGATCGCATACGATTGCACGTGATAGAGCGAGGTTGCGCAAGAAAGTGTGTCTCTGGACGAGATTACGTGAGATTGCGCGAGATTGTGCGAGAATGTGCGAGAATGTGCTTCATCGCGCGAGTTTGCGAGAGATCAATTGAGATCCCCACCGCGAGGTTGACGCACGCTAAACGCGCCTTGAGAGACAGACACACACAGATGGGAGCCAAACCCAGGACCCAGGTTACAGAGGCATGCAGACGCCATTCCTTTATCACCACGTGCCACAATATCCCACCCCGACCAACGCGCGCGAAGCACAAGGCCGAACGAGACTGGATGCCCCCCTTTAGTTTCGTTGATGATTCACACAGGCGTTTCTTTTTTCCACGAATTTCTTTTTACGGGCTTACAGGAGGGAGCAAAGGAAAGATGCTAGATGGACCCCCGCACAGGCAAGATGGACCCCCGCGCGCGAAGCGAACGGGGTGAGACGAGGGCCAGGGCGGACACGCCGAATGAGGAGAAAAAACGACCTCACGAAGAAGATCCCTATTACGACGGAGGCTCAAAACTTGCGAATATTTTTTCGATCGTTACATCGCGCTGAAGCTCGAGCAAGTAGAGTCCAATTTTGGGCATCTGCGCACGACGACCACCATGGCGATGCTCGACGGCAATGCGAAACTGGGCGACGGGATCGCAGAGGAGGGCGGCGCGGCGGCGCTCTTCGCGATCGTCCCTGCGCCCGCCACAGGCATTGACGCGGCCACGACCAAGGCGAGGCTCACCGAATGGGGTCCGATCGCGGGCACCGTGACGGAGCAGAGAATCATGATCTCCAAGGAGGAGGCGGCCGTTACCCACATCTCGACCCCGACCATCGAAGGCGCCAGCGGAACTTACCACATCATTATGCTGGTCTCCACAAAGTCCCAGTCGGGCTACGCGAAGATGAGCGAGGAGGGCAAGGTGATGCTGGTCACGTGCTCCAATGCCAACGCCGGCAGCGACGAGGTCGAGTCGTGGGTCGTCCCCCTGAAGCTGGCGCCGATCGAGTCGGCGCGCGAGACGGCGGCGCAGATGCGGGGCTCGACGGCGGTGGGCGGACTGCACTACGGAAGAGATACCGAGAGCGAGAGAAGAGAGGATCGGGGTGCGAGCATATCCAACTCCGGCTCACAGGTGCACGCGCTTGCAACGCGCATCTTCGACCCGTCGACGTACATTGGGGTGGAGACCGCCAAGTTCCGCGCCACCATCCCAAACAACAGGGACGACATCCGCTCCTTCATCCCCGCCTTCGTCGACGGGATGGACGAAGTGCATGGGCGCCAGCACACCTGCGTCTATGTGCGGGCTGAGGAGAAGTTCAACCCGACGACGGGCACGTTCAC